CTGCCCATCATTTGCTTATATAGTGTTGAGTCGACCTTCACACCAGCTTCATCCCGGCCAACCTTCTGTCCAGGGACTATCGGATTGCAAACAAAGTTGTAATTCTGCATCCCAAACCTCTCGATCAGCTCAGCAGCATATTTTCTTTGACATATAAAGATGCCATCAGCCTTCTGTATCACTTCAATGCCAAGAAAATATCTCATCTTCCCCAAATCAGTCATGTCGAATTCATCCTTCATGGAGCGCTTAAACTCATTCAACAACTCCTCATCATTACTAGTGAACAATAAATCATCAACATAAATGCTCACAATTATGATTTTACCTCCCTTTTGCTTGATGAATAATGTTTGTTCACTAGAGCTGCTTACAAAACCTTCCTTGACGATATAAGCCTCAATGCGACTGAACCAAGCTCTGGGTGCTTGTTTTAGTCCGTAAAGGGCCTTATGTAGCTTATAAACCATGTCCTTCTTCCCTGCTACTTCATAACCTTGTGGCTGCTCTACAAATACATCTTCCTTCAGCTCACCATGTAAGAAAGCAGATTTGACATCGAGCTGATAGATTCCCCATCCTCTTTGTGCTGCTACAGCAATGATCATCCTTACTGTATCCATTCGAGCCACTGGTGCGAATACCTCTGTGTAATCTACTCCGTACTCTTGAGCATATCCTTTTACAACCAGCCGAGCTTTGAACTTGTCTATCTCTCCCAGTTCATTTAATTTGGTCTTGTAAATCCACTTAACCCCAATAGCCTTGGCTCCAACGGGAAGTGTAGTTAGTGACCACGTGTGGTTCCGTTCGATGGACTGTATCTCAGCATCCATCGCTTGTTTCCAACTCTGATGTCTGATGGCTTCTTGAAAACTGGTTGGATCTGATATGATCATGAAAGCTAGAGTTTCAGTCTCGACTCTAGCCATGTTTACTTCTTCCTCTATATCTGATAGCCCTTCTCCTGTGATATAATCTGCAGACCATATTGGTGGTTTTCTCACCCTGCCAGTTGTTGTTATCGTTTCTCCAGTTGATGGATTATTTGGTGAAGGAACATCATCAGTGTATTCTTCTGTTTCTTCCGCTTCCTCAACACTTTCATAATTGTTTTCCCACTCGAGTTCAATGCTTTCTTCACCAGAATAACCAACAGCTTCCCAATTCCACTTCTTATCTTCCTCAAATATCACATCTCGGCTAATGTGAATTCTTTTCTCCACTGGATCGAACATCTTAAAAGCCTTGGATTCACTGCTGAAACCTAACAGGACACACTTCACGCTTTTATCATCAAGCTTGCTTCTTTTAACATCTGGGATATGAACATAACCAATACATCCAAAAACCCTGAAGTGTTCGACTGATGGTTTTCTTCCACTCCATGCTTCTTCTGGGGTCATGTCTCTTACAATGAGTGTAGGAGATCTATTAAGAACATGATTCACCCATTGCACAGCATCTGGCCAGAAAACTCTTGGTACCTCCTTCTCTAACAAAGCTGCTCTCACCATGTTCATGATTGTACGGTTTTTGCGTTCAGCAACGCCATTCTGCTGGGGTGTGAAGGCTGTGGTCAGCTGTCGTTTGATTCCATGCTCTCTACAGAATTCCTTGAACTCATTTGAGTTGTATTCTCCTCCTCTATCTGTTCTTAGACATTTGATGAACAATCCAGTTTGCTTTTCCACAAATGCTTTGAATGTCTTGAACTGATGAAATGCTTTTGATTTTTCTAGCACAAAATATATCCATGTTTTTCTTGAGAAATCGTCAATGAAGCTTATCAAGTACCTTATTTGACTGTTTGATGGTGGATTGATCGGACCACAGAGATCAGAGTGAATAAGCTGCAATCTTTCAGTGGCTCTCCACTTGCTCTGCTTCGGAAATGGAACACGATGGTGTTTCCCTTTGACACATGCCTCACAGGTGGTTTTCACATCTCCAATTTCAGGTAATCCCACAACCATCTCTTTACTGCATAATGTGTGAAGTCCCTTGTAGCTGAGATGCCCATATCGATGGTGCCACAGCTCTGCCTTGTCTGAGATATCAACCTGCAAGCATTTCTCCTCTTTTGTTTTGTCATTTGATTCACCTAGCAAGATAAACATTCTATTAGCACTCATAACAGATTCTGCTATCTTTCCTCTCGAGGGATGAAAGATGCTGCATGTGTTCCGATCTCCTCCTTTGAATAGCACATCTAGACCCCTTTCTTGAAGTTGTCCAACACTCAGCAGGTTGTTCTTCAATTCCGGAATATAATACACATCGTTGATCACATAGTTTATTCCTTTAAGCATTATTTTTACCACTCCTTTCCCACCAACCATCAGTTTGTGATTGTTCCCAAGCTTAACATTATGTGTGAAGCTAGTGTCTAAACTTGAGAACATACCTCTTTCTCCACACATATGGTTTGAACATCCAGAGTCCACGAACCACACATCTCTTCTTCGAGCACCTTGAAGCTCCACATACGTCATGAGAAGAACTTCATCCTTTTCTTCGATCTCTGCAAAATTTGCTCCACTATTCCCATTTGGACATTCATATTGGAAATGTCCAAGATTATGGCAGTTGTAACACTCGATTGTTGCTTTGTTGAATGAGCGTCCTCTGCCCCTGCCTCGACCTCTGTATGATCCTCTGCCTCTGCCTCTAACATTTAGAGCCTGATCATCTTCTTCATGACTAATCTTCTTAAATTTTTTTTCATGTACAGACAGAGAGCTTTGCAGTTCGTCAATCGTCATCCTTTCTGTGTCTTTTGACTCCTCGATGGACACCACTACATATGTGAATTTGTCAGTCAGAGTTCGAAGTATTTTCTCAACAATCTTTGAATCTGTCATGTCTTCTCCGTTGCTTCTCATCTTGTTGGAGACAGACATTACTCTTCCAAAGTAATCATCAATGCTCTCTTCATTCTTCATTTCAAGAACCTCAAAATCTCTTCTTAAGGTTTGGAGAAGAGATCGCTTCACCCTTTCGTTGCCTCCAAACTTTTTCTTCATCGAATCCCAAATGATCTTGGATGTTTTGCAATTCAAGATCTGTTCAAACACAACCCAATCAATTGCCTGGAACAGGTAGTGCTTCACTTGATGGTCCTTCATCTTGATCTCATCAAGACTCTTCTTCTTTGCTGCTGTCATTTCAACTCCTTCTGCTGGTTCGTCGTAACCCTCTTCCACTAGACTCCACAGACCCTTGGCACGTAAGAGATTTTCCATTAGTTCACTCCAGTGGTCATAGTGACCATCAAATTTTGGAATCTTGGTGAGTGTTTTGTCGTCACTCATTTTTCTTTCTCTTAGATCACTCTGTTTGCTTTGGCTCTGATACCAAATGTGAACTGTAAATTTGAGGCTTAGCAAATGCACCAGAATAATCTATCTTTATTCATAGGTTCCAATGCCTTTTTTTATAGGAAATACATGAAAGTTAAAGAAAAACGAAAATACAGGACATGACTCAACTAACTCCACTACTGACAGAAAAATAGGAAATAGAAATTGACTTGTTCCAACCCTGAAGAATAGGTCTTTGTTGAAGTAAACTAAAACTGAAGAAAAACTAACTCAACAGAGCCACAATAATTAGCAATTCAAATCACACTAAAAATTACTCATTTTAGATTTTAGTTCCCTATATAATAACTTAAGACACGTGAATTCAAAAGAAAGAAGTAACATCCATTCCTTTGTAATTTGTAATGCATGATTTCGGAAAGCAACAAATGTATCACTCACTTTTGGCTTAGAGATTGTGGCACCCAACTCAATTAGAGACAGTTTATCCGCTTTCGGAACAATTTTAGATGTATGCAACTAAAAAGTTGAAATTCACACTTTTTTTTTTTAATGGCACGAAGTTTGGTATGACTTGCCAAGACCAACTTTAGACGTTTTTGACTGGCGTTGTGAATTTTACAAGGCTAAATTTTGAATATTTTTTATCAAAATTTTATCTGACTAGCCAATGCTAACTTCAGACATTTTTTAGTGAAGGACATGTAAAGTTGGCCCAAATTTTTGTCACGTAGATCTTAATTTTTCATGTATGTATGTGCTTTAGTGATATATGACTGTAATATGATTCTACGTTGCCAGTCGCATTTGTAGATGCATAAGAACAAATCCCCCAGTCACCTAACCATCCCCACTATGCTGGTCTTCCACGTGTGTTCATTTTGGTTTCGAAGCTTCCTCTTCTTTGTTGCATAGGTGAGAGATCCCTATCCTTGACCACCTTATCAAACCATATGTCCAACATATCAACCCCATCGAAGATTTCATTGTCAAAGACAATATCATAAGTTGTAGTTGGACTTATTCGCCGTGAAACTACAACTCCTAGTTCATGACTCTTTTCCACTTCTTCCATATCCTTGGTTGTAATGGTTAAACTCTTTTTAGAGTTATCAATGTATATGTCACTACGATAGATGGGTTTGTGTTATTTGAACGCACAAATATAGGTGCTTGAGGACTTAACTTACTCTAAGAGGTGAAGTAATATGCCCTGTTTCCTCTGTTTCCCATACTGCTTATGCACCTTGTCAAATTCCTATTTCGTCATCATATTTATCCCTTGCAATAGCTTGAAAAGAGTTTTTTCGAAAACTATATTTGGCCAATCAATATTCTTCGAGGCAGTAGTTTGAAAACCCGAAGTAGCTGCTCTATGTTGCTGTTTTTTACGTCCCGGGAGTGGCACTTCTGCGGAATGAAGAACTCTTTACGTCCCGAAACTTCTAGTTAATTAAGAATAAATGAACATTTAACATTCCATCGATATATAACTTAACAAACAAGCTCTAATTAATAAATTATAAGGTAAGATAAATGATAAAAGAAGATAGTCAAATAAGCATAAAATTAAATAGCTAAAGATGAGTAGTAACGAGTCCAAATAAAATTGGAACTTAATAAGATTAAAAAGAAACTATATATTTTGATTTAACCTTGTTCCGTTTTAATCCCTTTTCAAGTATCTTGTCCTGGTTTGATCATGGAGGATGTGACGGCCTTCACATAGACCCCAATACTCTCAATGCCAGTACCATATTTTGTGCCATGGAATCCACCAAAAGTACGATCATCTCCTATTTCAAAGTTGAACTCTTTTAGTTCGTAATTAACACGAGTCTTCATGCCATATGGTCCATAGGTACCCTTGTTGGTGCCAAACGTTATTGATCTCAAATATATAAACGTATCAGGTGATTCACAATCGTGGAAACCTCTTATCGAAGTAAGAAATTCTGATGGATGATCCAGCACAACCTTCAATAAACATGGACGATAAATGTTAATGATTGTTAATACTCTAATATATTATTTAGTAGTATATTCAGAGTAAAAACTTAAAATAGTCCACTATCTTATCATTTAGATTTAAAATAGGCTTTAAAATACTCTAATATATTACTATATAGATGGTAATAAATAAAAAATATCAATAAAACCAGTAACTATTTATTAAAAAGTACTCAACCAAGTAATTTTTCCTTCAAAATAATCCTATTTCTTTCTAGTTAAGATCATCATCCACAATCGATGTTCTAGAGCTACAATTTCACGTACAAAAATAAATATTTTTCGTCTTTCTTCAACAAAACTAATCTAAAGCACCTAAATTTTCACTCGGCCACAACAATTCATAAATTAGGGTTATGAAAGAAATAAAAGTATTTCCTGTCTAAATTCAAAGATAGTGGACTATTTGAAGCCTTTACTCAATGTATTCAACGAAATAAATGTAATTAAAAAAATTTAAATCGTAGATCCGTCTCTTACCGTAGTGAAGTTTTTGTTGTGTGCAGGACCATGTGTGTCAGACAAAACAAAATTACCATTCTCAACAAACAAAAATTGAAGTGAATAAACTGCAATTTCATCATAGGAAAAAAAAAAACTTGGCAATTTCTCCTTTACCCTTTTCATCCCAAACAGTTCCCCTTTTTCCTCCAGCAGGACCAACTTTAATTAAATTCATATTAACTAATTTCTTGCTCTATGAAATATAATTGTTATAATTTATACGTGGGTGAATAATATATTATTATTATATATAGAGAGGAGTAACTAATTAAGGTAAAAAAAAAAAAAGGCCAAACTACATAAATCCCACTAGTTTAGGTCCTAATTACTAAAATTCCCGATAGTTTCAAATATTACTTCCTCTACCATATTTCATACTTAGGATACACAAGTTGGAATCCGTGAGATACATGTATCTGCCGAATTTTCAAACTGAGATATATATTTTATTTGTTTAAATTAATTAGTTGTAACCGATTTCCTTAATTAGAGAAGTAGTTGAGGATTTTCAGAATACATGGACATATAATTTTAAAATTTTAAATTAATCAAATCCCTTAATATAAGGCAGAAATCAAGGTATGTTTAATTAATTTCATTTTATTATTCTTTGAAATACTAAATTCATTAATATTATTAATAAAAGATTAAAAAAA